TCTATTCTCACAAACACCAACCTTGATAAGGCATCTGCCTTGCAGTTGTTAGCCCGAGCAATCTTCACAATTTCACAACTCTTCAATTTTCATTGAAGATCATGAACTTTTAAACAGTGTAAGCTCATTTTTTTTTTGTCTTTCTTCTTGAATGTTCCCTCAATCTGCCCAACCACCAGCGGGAATCACTAAAAATTTTGATGTTTTCAAGTTCGAGATTGATGGCAAGTTCCACGGCTATAATGATAGCCTCATACTCTGCTTCATTATTGGTTGCCTCGAATTCAAACCTGAGTGCATACTGAATGTCTATGAGCATGTCTGGGCTCGTGATGATGACCCCTCACTCGAGTCCGAGGAGTTCGATGGTCCATCCACGAAAATTTGTCAAACATCTGTTGTAGTGCTTGAGCTCTCATTTGGTCCTCGAGACCTTGGGGTGAGTTTTGCAATAAAATCCGCTAAGGCTTGGGCTTTGACGGACAGACAGGGTTTGAACTCTATGTCAAACTCTCCAAGTTCAATTGCCCACTTTAGTAACCTACCCGAGACATCTGGCTTTTGAAGGATGTGTTTCAAAGGCTGGTTAATGAGCACCACAATGGGGTGAGACTGAAAATATTGTCGAAACTTTCGTGCTGCCACTATTAGGGCAAGGGCAAGTTGCTTGGCCAAAGTGTACTTGGTCTCTGCATCAAGTAGGACTTTACTTACATAGTAAATGGGCTGCTGGGCTCTGTTGACCTCTTTCACCAAGACGCCGCTCACTGCATTTTGAGATACGGCTAAGTACAACATTAGAGTATCCCCGGGCTCTGGTTTAGTGAGGATAGGAGGAGATGCCAATGTCTGTTTGAGCTCCCGAAAAGCCTTCTCACACTCCTCATTCCATTCAAAGGATTGCCTACCTCTAAGGACTTTGAAGAAAGGAAAGCACCTGTCTGCTGCCCGGGACATGAACCTGTTTAGGGCTATTACCCTACCTGTCAACTTTTGTACCTCTTTCTTAGTCCTGGGCGATTCCATTACTGCCAAGGCTTGGATCTTATCGGGGTTTTTGCTTTGATCCCTCGGTGAGTGATCATGAAGCCCAAATTTTTTTTCGAAGCTACACTGAATACACACTTCTCTAAGTTGAGCTTCATCCGATATTTTCGTATGATGGCGAACACCTCCTCCAGGTCGGATATGTGTTGCTCTTCCTTCTTGCTCTTGACCACCATGTCGTCAACATAAGCCTCAATGTTCTTCCCTATCAAATCAGCGGATACTTTATTGATGAGCATCTGATATGTTGCCCCAGCATTCTTCAATCCAAACGACATCACCCTATAGCAGTATATGACTGAATCTGCCATGAACGAAGTCTTCTCTTGGTCTTTCTTAGCCATGAGGATTTGATGATACCTTGAAAATGCATCCAGGAAGTTGTACAACTTATGTCCGGATCTATTGTCCACAAGATTGTTTATCGGGGAAGCGGGTAGTTGTCTTGAGGGCATGCCTTGTTGAGATCTGTAAAGTTGATGCAGACCCTCCATTTACCACTGGCCTTCTTCACAAGAACGACATTAGCTAGTAAATCGGGGTATTGGACTTCCCTTATGAACCCCGCTCTTACTAGTTTGCCGACCTCTTCTTGAATGATCGCTCATCTTTTTGGTGCAAACTGCCTCTTCCTTTACTTAACAAGTTTGGCTCCTGGGCTTATGTTGAGTCTATGAACTGTTACATCTAGGTCTATCCCTGGCATATCCTCGACCTTCCATGCAAAAACATCAATGTTGAGGGATAGACAATTGATGACTTTCTCTCGGAAGGTAGCCTTGAGATCTCGACCAATTGTTACCGTTTTTCCATGCTTGAGCTCGACCACTTCCAATTCCTCCACCGGGGCAAGTCCACATCTTGGCTCAAGCTCGAGTTCGAGGTTAGAAAGTTGCATGAGAGAGGCCGCAATCTTTTTGATACGCTTGCTACTTGCAAAGAAGGCTGAGAACTTATCAGCCAAATCTGATAATGAGACTATGGAGTTGTGCTCCAATGTTGAAACCAATCCCTAGCAGTATTAGTCAGCATTTGCGGGAAGGCTTTGCACATAACTTGATTCGGCGCAACTTGCAAATTAATGACATTGGTGTATACATTGAGATGGTTGATTGGGTCGGTCTTCCCATCATACTTTTTAATGCGAGGATATTTGAATTTGTCGAGCAGAGGATATAACAATATCTCCAGCGTAAATGGAGTGTTAGGGATAAAACCCGTTGGCCCCCGAGCATTTCGTTTTAGGCCAATTGTAATTGTAAGTATTATGCCCTAGGCGCAATCAACTTTGGACATAAATACTTTTGATATATAATTAATGCAATTTAATGGTAGATTTATTATTTAATTGTTAGACAATTAAATAAATAATAGAGTCCGTAGATTCAAATCTTCGTAATTTGTTAATCACAAGGAGTTGTGATTGTGAGATACAAATTACATCTGATTGAATCTTAAATCGTCCGTGGTCGTAAGTAATAACGAGATACGGATATCCTTATTATGGATAGACTATCACGTGTGACATTTCTTACTTGTGAAGTAAGTAGCTGATCTCATGAGCTAAAGTGTGGTGACACTTAAATGACACGTGGATGTTTTGTTATAGAACAAAACATTGGAGACCTCCTGAGAGATTCCATATGGATAACTATCTGAGTGTCAGTGGTTAATCTCTAACGTTCGGTAGTGGAATTGGTCCTTTGATTTGAGGTCGTCATGGTACCTTATATGAGGATAGTCATACTTTGGCGGTGTTGGATGTTGCTCTGCAAAGGGCCGCTAATACGACATTGTTCGGGTACATCAAGAATCGTATGAAGGTTGTGATTGATCAATAAAGGATTCGTCACTCTTAGATAGTAGGAGATTATGATCTGCGTTTCATTTAATTAAGTCAATAATGAAATCCTTGGCCAAGGTGTACTCATAAGTCGAAAATGAGTTTTCGACTTATATTGACTTAATAGTGGAGTGAAAGATATGATCGATGATCGAGATTGACACACTTCTATATCTCGTAATTGATCGGATCATATTGCCGAAGGGATTATAGTTTCACGGTAAATGAACGAGTTTGGTTTTGTTACACTACATGACATTTCCCGTCACATGTATTGCCCTGACACATTGCTAGATGTCAATCAGGGACGGCGAGTGTGAATTGACGATAAATTAAAAGGGTGTTTTAATTTATTAATTTTGATTAGATCAAAATAATATTTCACGTCGTTAGGCATCGTGGTCGGGAACCTAATGGGTCGCACACAAAAGAGAATTGGAAGATTGCAAATTGCCAATTAGTTAATTTAACAATCGTTGGATAAATTAATTAATTGGATTTGTTATTTATATTCCCGAATTATCGGGTTTAATTAAATGGGTTAATTAATTCACGGACCGGGTTTAATTAAATGGATTAATTAAATGTTGGACTGGACCGGGTCGAACCCGTTTGAGTTTATATAAATACATGGCTAGGGTTTGAGGTCCATATGATTTTCATTATTCTTCCTAGCACAAGAGGAAAAACCCTGATAGCTGCAATCTTATTCTCTTTGTGGATCACCGTTGGAGATTGGACAGCTGTGGGTGACAAATCAAGATTGTTGGAACGAAAAGAAAAGCAAAAGGTTTGCAGAATTCGTTAAAGGTACAATCTTTATCACGATTTCTATCTAAACACAAAAGGATTCTCGGTGGGAATTGAAATAATTTTAATTTTCCGCTGTGCATGTATAAGTAGATTCCCAACAGTAATTCCTTCTTGAATGATCAGGGCAATCTCTCCGGAATCTATAGCAACCGATCTCGAGCCCGATGCCATGTTACGAGTACCCGAGGTCCCTACTTCGCCAGTTGTGGTGTTTGGTCCTCGGGCTCAAGCATTAGTTATAAAATCACCATGCTCTGCTTGCACCGGTGACGGATGCGAATTTCTTTGACTTAACAGCTGTGTTAGCGTGACCACCTGTTGACGGAGCTCTTCAAAGACTTCAGTTGTGACGATCGCTGGCTGGGGTGTGGGCACTCCTGACGACTATTCTTGAGGAGCCGGTTGATCTTCAGCAAGATGAGGGATAGGAGAGGATGAGCTTACGGGAGACAGACCTGATCGCATGTTTACCATGGCTTTTGGTAGCGGTTCCCACAGATGGCGCCAATGATGCTACTAAAAATCGTATCTGTTGAGTTTTCGAGTTTGAGGACTTTAAATGAGCACGATCGTAGCCTTCCGGTTCCTGAAACAAAGGTAACGACGTATGTTCTCGTTGCCCTTCCGATACTTGAGTCAGAAAGGAAATTATATACGTGAGGCTATAAATTGGAGAATAATGAAAACGTACCTGAACCATGACCCATGGTCCTGTATTTATAGTGGTAGGTGACATCCTCCTAGTGGAACTCAACTAGCTGGGTATCGCTATCCAACAAAGTCCTATTAGGTGAAGGAGTTGGACCATTGCCATAATTATGTTTGGGATAGAATCTTTACAGGAGTCAAGTATTGAAATAATATGGTAGAATTAAGAGTCCCAACCACATAGGAATCCTATTAAGTCAGTAATCCCAACCGTGGGATGCGAGGAAAATATATCTCGAGGACCACTCTTGCTCGAGGATAGAATCATGGAAATGAGGATACAACAAGCCTGCGAGTGTTCGAACATTATATCTCGGGGAGGGTTAATGCTCGAGCAATTCAAATGTGGAATCGCAAGGGTTTCTGAAAAATGTCTTCGGGATAAAATGTTCGAGCAGCTTGCTCGCCTCGCGCTCGGGCTCGTAAAATCAGGAGCCCAAGCCGCCCACGAGCCCCTTTTGAAATCACGATTCCGAGCCGCCCCTTTGAAATCACGAGCTCGAACCGCCCACGAGCCCCTTTTGACATCACGAGCTCGAGCCGCCCGCAAGCCCCTTTTGACATCGCTACCCATTTTAAGGAACAAAAGATGAAGTGCTAGGGAAAAATCTTTTTGCCCTTCCAAACGGCGTATTTTAGAAGCCTCCACAAGAGAACGTATTTTTGGGGATCGCTAGAACACACTGAAACCATACGTTGGTTACGATGGCTTTCAGTTCGCAATTGGTAGCATCGCCCTTGCCGTTATCGTCCAGGGCTTACTTGCAGTCGGTGGCCAATCCGGTGCCTGTGACCGCGGCTCTGCTGCAACGTCACCACCGTGTCATATCTTTCACCAACACAAATAGTAATCCCTTCCTCTACTTTTACAATAACCTTGCTATTACATCGGGACGAAAGATAAGCTTCATTCGATGCTTCTCTGGTAACTAGTCTTCTTCAATATTTTTGACAGATTCATTTTTCTTTTGGTTTTGAGAATTTTCGTATATTTAGGTAAATCCAACATTATCAGGGCTTGTAATCTTTTAAGATGGAATCTCACGTCCCAACATGCCCTCGGATGAGTAATTTGATCCATTTAAAGCTCAAAACATGCATTTGGATTCTAAGATTGGTTGTTCTGCGAGCCACCTACTACTTGCTGCATTTTAAGGGTAAAATAGAATAAAGATGTAAAAATCAACAACATATGAGGGCTTAGAATTATTCTCTTAATCAGGTTGATAGCATCTACCTGCTAATTTAGTCGCATAGGCTAAATAATATATAAATAAATACAGATCTTCAACTTAGGATGTTCAACTTTTCTCTGGAACGACTTATTTGGTTTAAGGTTTGGATTTGAGGTATCTGTCTGCTGCTTGACCACATGATCCATATCTATGTGCCCCATTGATGTCATGCATTTTCTGCAAGCTGCCTCGCCCTAACTTTGTAAAATCTCAATTGAACAATGTATTGGTAGGTACCATGTGGCCTTCTACTCCTATTCTGTAATTGGCATTACCTTGCATCTTCCTACTAAGCTAAGTTCGCAGTTGCTCAGAGTAATGGTGGTCTTACCCTGTTGCCAGTGATCTCTCTTTCTATAAAGCTTTTATTTATCTTGGAGAGGTCAACTCACATGGCATAATGCACATAACTAGTAGTAGTACACTAACAGATGGCTATGGTGTGAACTGTGTGAAGAGTGCATGCTTGTTTTGAATTTTGTGGTAAGAGTAGAACAAGACGAAATTTCCCCAGTAGGACATTTTTAGTCTTTAGGGTGAGAACATGAAGTTTTTCCACTAATTCTGGGTGTGTAAATAAGGCCCCTTTTAAAAAATTTGACAAATTTACCCCTCCGAACGTATTGCCAAGCTCTCTCCCTTATTGCATGAATTTTGAATCATCTAGGCATTCTCGTCAAACTATTCAAAGTTAGTGAGACTGCCTAGATGGTATAGGCGCACTCTTTATTACTTTTTGCACGACTTTTCAACCATCTTCGAATTCTTGTCAAACTAGTCAAAGTTGATGAGAGTTCTTAACCCATTTAGATGCTCTAGTCTTGTCAACTTTGCCTAGAATCGTCTAGAGGATACTACGGTCATTTTGTACAATTGAATAAATTTTTTGGCAGGAGACAAATTTGTTTTTGACAAAAAATTGACTAGTTAAAAATTTAGTGTCAACAAAAAATATTAAGGGCAAAAGGTAGTACCGTATTACTTAGGATATACTTCAAAGTGTAACTCATATAGCATTTATATTGAGGAAAATAACAGTTATATGCACCCGTGTAATTCTTAGGATGCAAAAATGTATTCACTATTGCCATCTTTTTTCTTTCAAAGCAATATACCAAGCCAAGAGCTTTTTGAGGAGTGCATTCTGGGAATCAAATTGCTTCAGACCTATGACCGCCGTGGAAAATGATAGACACAAGAACCAGTAGGTATAGTAATAGTCTTATTAAGATTCCTTCAAAATGTTTCCACTTAAAACTTCATCCTACAGGACTTCGAATTTAGAGCTGCTCCATCAGATTGATATCAATAAGAAGTTTATTATTGTAGTATAACCTGTGGACAATCATTTTCACTTGGCAAAGATTAATCAGGCTTTACCTTGTTCTCTACGTTAGACCCTCAGTAGTGAATATCAGATAACTTCATATGGAAACTCGATCCAACACTTGAATTATGGAGTTGATGACTGTTTTTTCGTACATGATTCCTTTTACATGGGGCAAATCAATTTTGATTAAGTTCTGCATTGACCAAAATCTTAAGTGTGGTACATGTGTAAACAACTAAAATTCATAAAGAAATCATTAAATGGTGGTGTGGTAGTATGTAGACATTCCGAATAATTAAAATTTTTCTTGCTTGCCTCTTTTATTTTCTTCTACTTCCATTGTTTTGTTTTCTGCACTTATGAACTTTGTCCATCGACATGAGATATCTTACATCTGGCTGCCTTTTTTGTTTAATAATGATTCAGCTCTAAATCCTGAGCTGAAGACTACCTTGGATAAAGTTGTTACATCACAAAAAGTAGTTCTCTTCATGAAGGGAACAAAGGAATTCCCCCAGTGTGGATTTTCAAACTCTATTGTGCAGATACTGAAATCCTTGAACGTGTCTTTTGAAGCGATAAATATTCTAGAAAATGAAATTTTGCGTCAGGGATTGAAGGAGTACTCCAATTGGCCAACCTTTCCACAATTGTACATTGATGGCGAGTTCTTTGGTGGATGTGACATTACTGTAGGTAAGTTATATACTATCTGACAATGATTATGGCATTTGTGTTCTGGTACTGAAAGATATTAGCTGTCTGTTTTTGTAGGGATTATATTGAAGTGTTGCAGGAACTTTATTTGTTCTTTAATTTCATTGGTCCATTTTCAATACTAATTTACACTGACAACTCATTAGGATTAAGATGGTTTCACATTTTTCTCAGTTGGGAAATTACAATGAAACACATTACATGTTGATTCAACAACAGATCATGTGTTTTTTAACACTGATTCCTATTCAGATTCTAAATGGTGGCTAAAGGTTAAAAAAAAAAGGGTTAATTAAGTCAGATTGACGTAAATTGAAGGAAAGTCTTCCACTAAGAAGCACAAATACTTACAATCTCGTTACATACTCGTATTCGGTACGTATTCAAGTTTGAATATTATCTGATATGCTTTGATATGTACTGGATACATGTTTCTTAATTATTTTTAAATGTTTGATAATATCGAGTATGTATTTTTTAATTGTTTTCGATACCTATCGAATATATTAGGACACATGAAGAAGAGTTTTATGGTTTTATACTCTTTTTAAACTCATTATTATTGACTAAAAAAAATAAATAAAATAAAATAAAATTTATTTACTTAATAGATAACTAATTTTATTATTGTTATTTAGATGAGCCAGTATTGGAAAGTATATATATTATTGTACATATATATGAGTTTGCGTATTTTTTTTTTTTTTGGAAAGAGAGTTCTCGGTCCCATAGCAATCGTACAATTAAGTCCTAGATTTAATATTACTGATTTAGATATCCAAAGTAGCTGGAAGTGTTTCCAATTGAGAGATGCAAAGGAAATGCCATTTTTCGGCAGAAAATGTGAGGCAGAAAGTTGATTCAGAATTTTCTATTGAAGTAAAATTTAAATTTAGGCCCATCGTGATATAAACGAGGATGTAAAAGTGATTTTGAAAATACCATTTTACACCATCATTGGATATGTTCTAGATATTGGACTTCTTGATTTGGGGGTTTTACAGAAAATATGTTTTTCAATGATAACTTGGGAGAGCTAGAAAATTACTTTTTGGGTAACTTAGAGATAAATGTCTAGTTTTTTATGGTTTCTCTCTTTCTGGAAGCACAGTTTTAGTTTTTATTTTTATTTTTATTTTTATTTTACTGAATTGGTATTAGATAGCATTTCTGTTGAATATTATATCTTTTTTGGGGGCAGAATGGAAGAATAAAAAGTTTCATGAATTTGTAACAGAGGCATACAAGAGCGGGGAGTTGCAGGAACTGTTAGAGAAGGCAATGTGCTCTTAACTCCAAGTCCTTTGGTGGTTTGGCCATTGAATGTCTGTAAACATGTCCTCAATTTGATACTGCTCAGTTAAAGTTTATACCTGCATTCTGGTGGGAAAAAATGACATGAACTCCTATATATGTGTAACTTTTCAAAATTTTTTCCCCTCCCTTGATGTGTTCTGTTATTATCTTTAATATATAGTGCCCGTTTGAACCACATTATTCGTAGAAGGAGAATGAAAAATAGAGCCGTTATGGCTCCATACAAGAGATAGAAATTCAAAAATTGTGGCTTGATGTGATAGATAACGGTCATATTTGTCATTTTAATGAGGTAAAAATGGGGTTCAAACAGGGCCATAATATGGAGGTATTCATGCCAGATTTCTAGGCATCTGGCGGACAATCAGTGGAGGCTTTTGGCTGAGCTGAGAAAGACGACGTTCCTCCCATTATGAATCAAACAGGAAGCATATGAACGAGGGGAATTAAGCCAAGTTAGTATATCCAAGGGCTCCCAAGCTATATGTATGCAATTTTGTGAGCAGCAATTGTGGGTGGACATTATCATCATCCATGGACAAGATATAGGAGGTTATGAAGATTATTTGGAACTCCCAAGTGAAAATGCACGAGGACTAATATTATTTATGGAACCAAGTTATTTACAAGATAGTTTCGACAAAGAAAAAGAAATGGATATTTAAATTAATCTATTGACAATAAAAGTTAGGGGGTACTGTTTAATAATATGGCAAAAAGGGTAAGAGATATTTCAACTACAGTTAATAAAAGAAGGTATAATTGATCTGTTGGATTAGTGAACTTTTTTGAAAATAAATTTGTCAAACTTAAGGAAATTTATAATATTGACGGTACTAGAATGTAAATTTAGTGAATCAAGCTACGCTAACATTTTCAATAACATTTTGGATGATAGTAACACTAAATGGTAGAATTTTATTGGACGGCTTAAAAAACAGTCAACAATATCACTCAATCAATTTTTTTACACATCTTTTGCTGTCAACAAAGATTTCAAATTCATCTGAAAATAAAGTTTAATTCAAATTCATTTGTGAATTGACGAGAAGAGTCGTGAATATGGTTCGTTAATCTCATGCGGGAAGGAGTGGTAGAGAGACTATTAAATGATTATCATCAGCCATATCACAAATTAAATTTTTATTACCAGCCACTCTTCGTAGATGCATGTCACAAAATTATTACTGAATACAAGGGTTGGTTGGGAGTATTCAAGACTACGGTGAGAGGAGCGTCCGCATATGTAAAAGATTACTCTCTTTAATTTTCTCATCCTTCAGAATATATTTGAACATTCATTTTACGTGCATATCACGTTTCTGCATAACAGTAACGAAAATACATGAGATTGACTAGGAATATTGTATGTCCAAATTGCCATTTAGTAAGCCCACGAATAAAGGGTTCACATGTAGTACTTCCAGATATTGTGTTTGAAACAACTGTTCAAATTCCTAATGATAAGCAGCTTAGAGATGGGTTTTGAAATGGAAAGAATCTGCCCAGCTTTACTTGTAAATATGATCTCACGTGTAATAATGTTGCCTATTTTCTAGCAACTTTAGCAAAAAATTGTCTGAACATTACAAGTGTATATTACGGGGAATGTGCAGTGTTGGATCAAGGTATTAGTGAAAGGAAAATTTTAGATGTACATAATTTTTGTCCATAAGGATGTTCATGCCTCTCACATGAGTGTGGGTCCCATTTCATGTGAGAGGCATGGACACTTTGATATACAAAAATTATGTACATCAAGCAAAGTTCATAGTGCAAACAGGCGCCTCGTGTATTTTTGTTGGTTTCTTCATTGTCAGATGTTAGAAGAACCACCAGATGGAGCTTAACAAGGTTTTTCTTGAGAAACCTTAAAATCAGATCTAGGTCATGTTCATAGGTTGACGATGACTGAACCACTACAAATACCATTTACATCCTCGCATAGACGTGAAAGATAAAACAAGAAAGAGTAATAAATGTTACCAGTCTGTTACTGTCTTTCCATCAATAGCAGAAATGACTAACCAGAATATAACTTTTAACCAGAACATAGACATCAAATGTTTGCAGAACTTGGTACTTAATATTTTCTGGAAGCATATTAAATGGTGTAAAAGAAACAATTATTTCCTTTTAAAACAACCAATGTTTCCTCCTTGGCTCGTGCGGCAAGGGAGCATCTGCACAAGGGAGAAACAATTTGTGAGTGCAAAATTAACAAATTCAGTTATAAATCATTGATTTTCTTCTCTTTCTAAAGGTTTCCATTCCTTCCCTTCCTTCTCTACCTTCTCTCTTTTCATTTATTTATCTTTCTAAACTGAACGTCAACAAAACTCTAGATGACGATCCCACAAACCTTGCATTTCATAAAGTGAATTGTAATGCACCTCAGACCAAAAACTTAACCATAGCTCTGCAACACATTAAAAAAAAAAAAAAAGTAAGAAAGCAATAAACAAATTTAATGGGCTGTGCACTATAAACAAACATCTGACATGATCAAGTGTGTGTTTATTTCAAATACTTCAATTTAGGCAGGCTTTTGATGTTGATTACGTCTCAGAAGCATACAATCAACCATTATATCTAGCCAGAAATGGATAAAATGATCAAAAGGATAACTTGAATATTTTGCGTAAAACAAAGCAATGGGAACATGGTGCAATTATATGGTAAACAGCATATGGATATATTTAACTGCAACAGGTCTAACATCATTGTGAGTACTATTACCTCGTGTAGGTGTCTGATATCGTGGAACAATTTCAATGAAACAAGTATCTCTGAATGAAGTCAAAAGACAAATCTTTGCAGCAAACTGCATTGCAACAATGATCATAAATGATGTTTTTACACCTTCATAGACAAAATATATTAAAATATTTCATATACAAGATTATTTGCCTCTTTGAGGCTATTAAAATGACATATGGAATACAAGAATTAAAAGGATTAAAGGATTTCATGACTTGGAGACTATGAGAACATATTGAGCCCACATAAGAGTCACAAACATGCAGATTCTAGATTGACAGTGTTTACACATGCCGGTGTTTTCAGGGATTTTTTCATTTTTTTTTCTGGGGCCCAGGGGTGGGGGGGGGGAGGGCATGAGCGAGCAGAATGAAAATCTTAGAAGTTAATATATGGGACTGGGGGATGGAGGGTAAAGCTAATAAGCAATAAAAGTAGTTTCGTCACCTTACATGTGACTCTTACGCATGGAACAAGAATATTATTATGTACAAACTAAGAAGCACAGAAACGGATATGAAATTCGAATACGATAAGATACAGGTACACTGATACGACTTTTTTTAAAAACTTAGAATAAAAAGAATTTCATTAGTATAAAAAAATTAAAACAGAAGCATAATAATAAAAATAAAATAAAATACTAAAGCATTTTATGTTAATTTATAATCTTCCAAACTTCATTTTTTTCAACATCGGCTTCATCATCATCGTAAAAAATAACACTCTCCAACTCTAGTTTATCTAACGATAAATTAACAATTTCAGACAGTCCAACACCTTCAAGAGTATCAAACGAGTCTCGAGCAATGTTCCATATTTTGAATTCTCATTTTAAATAGAGAGCGAATTTTTTGATAAACTAATTGTGTATATTCAATCAATATAATTAATATTCGATAAGTTACTAAAATGATTATAAATATTTATTAATATTCAATAAGTTATTAAAATAATTATAAAATACATTTTCGATATATATCGGATACTTATTGAAAATAAATAAAAATATAAAATAATTAAAAATACTTATCTGATACGTATTGAAAATTTAAAAAATATTCAGCAAATATCGGAGAGCACCCAAACTTGGATATATATCGGATACGGATACAAGTATGCTTGCTTCTAAGCGTACAAACACACTTGCTAGTTTATCCCTGTCCCCCTTTGCATACAAACTCCCTCCCTAATGTTAACCCATTCAAGGGGAAAAGAACATAGTTTGCAGGCATGCAACTCAATGATATATAAAGCAGCAACTGTGAAGACCACGAAGAAAGACTAGACATCAGCATGAAAAGAGAAATTACTGTTATAATAATTACCTTGTCGGCTGCTGCTTGTAATGTGACATGGTCTCCCCATTCGCCTGACCTGAAATTCCATGTAGAAGAAGATAATTCAGCAGCAAAAGCAATCATTACATATCAAATGAAAACAAAATGCTTCATTCAGAGAACCCTACTTTGCCATTTTCTTGTAATAGTGCTTGTACTTCATTGGAACATAACCTTCATATAAAGCACGGTTATCTTTAAGCTGGACCAGGAACACAAGAAACAATGAGTACAAAAACTATACTGGGTTTCAGTTCATGTGAACAAATGCAAGCTAAAACGTATTTCCAAGCAAAAGAGTCGTATTATACAAATGACCCCAAAGGGTTCATTTCCTGCAAATCATTGTCGAAAAATACAAGTATTAGCATACTTACTTCCGTCCCGATACTCGGTGATTGTTAGTGGTTTCGGATCAATACTTCATTAATTTGTGTGTTAGTTTCTTGTTTAGGACAAACACCAAACTTTTAGGACATCAATGATGAAAAGAGAGTTTATGTGGGCTTCAACTGAATGGAAGTGGAAAGGAGTAGCAAATATCTATATATAGCCCTGTACTCCTAATTTTGAATATTATATGAATTACTACAAATATCTAATCTATCTTCATGATATAAGAGCTGGATTTCCTTACTGGAATCAATAGAAAAACCTTTTCTCTAGCTTTAATTGCCAGAGAAGACCTCAGTCAATATAGACACTTTCTAGGCATGGATTTCAAGGTCCTGCGGTACCTTGGACTGACACAAGAAGAGAGGATTTTTGGATGCAAACCTATTGGGTACCCCTACTGATCCTAACCATACACTGGGATTAGGGAATTAAAGTTTGCAGGTATTGGTTGAAGGATTCTATTGACAAGCTGGTAGCAAAATTGCTTTATCTATCATACACTCCCTGTTGAGGAAACTTAGTGACATGGAGAAGCAAAAGCAAACAGTGGCAGCTCAGAGAGAAGCTTATATGAGGAATCATCTGCATGCCATTTCTTTAAACAGAGAAGTAGCTAGTGGGCATATTCAATAAGGTGTTCAAAAACAACCGTTTCAACATGCAAGGTGAAGACATTGGACATCTTTGAACAAGCTAGACTTAAGTGTGGAGAAATGTGTTCTAATGAGTAATGATTATGTATAACCTGATTTAGTGCACCTAATAAGGGTTAGAATCAATATGGTCAATGATTTGCATTTCAAATATTTTCTGATTTTAGTTCTTATTCCTAGTTTTAATGCTATTGCAATGCTGTATAGTCAACTAATTTTCCATGTACAATAAATATCCGTGTATTCCTATTTCTGAATATTAATGAGAATTTTGTTCAATTAGTTCTAGATAAAATAAGAAGTTAAAGGTTATAACTGGGGGCAACAAGGTGAATACAGCTACCTAAAGCTGAAGAATATAGAGGCCAAGGTAACAATATACAAGCCTGTCAATGTGTTTTTTAAAATAAATTTGTGGTTTTTTCAATAAATGCAAGTTACTATGGTGTCAGCAGCCGATAATAAAACCAAACCAGGTCTCTTTTATTCACTATTTTCTTTTCTCCCTTTCAATTGTAACTTCGGTACTTTTACCAACAGAATGAAACAATTATGAGATTCACTCATATTGTACATGGAAAAAATGATCACATGGTCATACATAATATGACTTCTACCCCTTTAATATTGTTTAAATTAACGTTAGTAGATTAGAGCGCGTTTGGTAAGCCGTTTTCAGGTTGTTTTCAGATTTCAATTTTTTAAAACACTCAAAACATATTTCTCTTTGAGATATTCCTTTTGTAGTATGATTTTCATTTCTAAGTGGTGTTCCAATGATGTTATTGCTGCATTTCTAACTTAATTCAAATAAAATAAATATGTTTTTAATATCTTCCTTTATTTTTCTGCATATGCCAGTATCCCTCATAATGTCTTTCAAGGCATGTGAGACGTTCTTGAAATCTATATTTTACATGCCTACTAGATTTTGTATAATGTTTTTAGTGATGGGAACTTCACACAAAACTGAGCTGTCCATTGCATTTTAGTTCTTGGTTTTTAAAACCAAGGGCAATATGTCACTGAATGAAGTAGTTGTCAAGTAACCCAATTGCTCTTCCAGTGCCCCAGCTCCAAATTTCTTGTTCCCTTTCTTCTTTTCCTGCCATCTTGTTATTCATATTTTTCGTAAGTGTATTGTGGTATTTTTGGTTATGTTCTTATGCGTATAATTCCAAAGAACAGAACATTTTTTAAGAATGTGGAATCCGTGGTTATATTTTGGTTAAGTGGTTAACATTTATTCATTATCTTTATTAGAGAACATGAGTGGTCATAGAGGTAAGAATATGGAAACAATGTCGATGGTCCGATCAAAACAAACACGTTTTTATCGAAATACTTTATGATAATGTGAAAGCAGGAAAGTTGCAATGTTCTACGTTCACAAAAAATGATTGGGGCAAGATCAATCAAGAGATGATTGTTACCACAAAATTTGATTACGGGGATAGAGAAAGATTGAAGGGTAAGTGAAACTCTTTACGTATGGTGGATCACTTGTTCTCTGACCTTTTAGGGCATACAGTGTTACATGGGATCCAAATACCAACCAAGTGAATGCTACAAAAGAAGTTCGGCAACATTTTTTACGGTATGTGTTGTAAAAGAAAATTTTTAGCATTATTTATTTATGATATCATTTTTGTTTTACATTTTGCTATACAGTTTATTAATATGGTTTTTTTTTTTTTTTTTAAACAAGAGTGACTATAAGACATTTAGGAGAGAAGAATGTAAGCATTACGAATTGATTGGAGAGATTTTTAGCGGGACTACAGCTATTGGAGGTCTAAGCAATACTTTTACTCAACTTCCTCCAACGTTAGAGGAAGAAAGACAGATAGAAGATGAGATTTTGAGGAGGGGAGTGCATGTGCATGTGGAAAATGATAATAATGAAGTTTCAAATAATCGTCGACGTGATAAAACTACACCTAACAGACATCGAAGTAAGGAACTCAAAATCGGTAAAGGTGAAAAACTGGAGGAATGTATGGCGCAATGGTCATCTATTGTTAGTCTGAGGAATGAGGAAATATAAATTATCCCTTGTTTGAGCCCCATTTTGGGGGGAAAAATTCATTGTAGAATAGTGTGTTGATGGAAAAATGTGTGGTTAAAAAATAAAGAAAAATTTTGGATTTGCGTGTAATATTATTTTATTGAAAAATGTGTGATTGAAATGATGTCAAAATATTGTTTAAAAATATATTTTTTCCAAAGAATGGGGCTCAACCAAGGGCTTAGGATGACGTACTTAAGGAAAAACTTGCATGCATCCAAGAAAAATCATCTAATCATGGAGGCACTTGTGAAGTCATTAGTCCAGACCCTTATTCAAATATGGAGTGTTTGAACATCTTAAACACCAAGGAATGAGTGTCTAATGAGGTTTATATGAAAGTAATAAGGGCCTTAAGGATCCAGATTTCAGGATGACATTTGCAATGATGCCGGAAATTAGAATTTAGGAGAGGACCTATCTTGAAATTTTTTTTATTTGCCTAATTGGTCGGTTTAAGTATTTTGAACTTCTAAGGTAGGATTGTGTTCTTTTCATATATTAATTATGAACTATGTAATTCTCAAAATTTACTACTAGTTTTATTTTAATCAATGTATTAGATTTTGATATTTATATTTGTTGGAGTATTATTATAAATGATTATGATAAGTGCATAAAAGATATAAGTGACAATGATTTATTATGTACCAAAGATTTCGATGCGATTGTTGGAGATATACAATGATTCCTTTCTTTACCAACTTTAAAATTTATATTTTTTGATCATATATTAGCATAAAATTGATATGTTTTACTACATTATCAAATTAATTGAAAAAATATCATAAAACTATTTCTAAAATTATGAAATCAAACATGTTTTCTAGTTTTTTGTTTTGAAAAACAGTTTTACAGAATGACAAACCAAACGCTTTTTTGCAATTTTAAAATAATCCCTAAAAACAGAAAATAGAAATGATTTCAAAACTGAAAATAGAAAATAGAAACGCAAACCAAACATACCCTTACATTTCAGTTCTACTTCCTTAGAAACCAAGGAGTTTTTATTAATTGGTTTTGTAAGTAAATGAATTTTCGTTTGAATATGCTATAATGCGGTGAAGCTTAAGGAAACCTTAGTTCTTTCCATGAGGGAAAATTGAGGTACTTGGAGGCATAAGCAACAAACCAATAACACAATTCAAAATTTCAAATGAATATAAAAATTGAAACATTTTCATAATAAACAATAAATCATCTTACAAAATCTATAATAGAACAAAATAGAAAAAATAAAATTTTAATAAAAATTTTGAACACCAAATATAATACTAACCTGTTTTACAACCTCCTTACGCACATGCTTGTGATGGTCAGGCGATCTGTAGATCTGGTCTGATAGTGCACGGAACTGAAAAGAAGTTAATAGATAATATCTAAAACCTCAAATGACTAAAAAAAAAAAAACACACCTGACAATTTCCATCCCCAGACACCTTTACTTCATACAAATCATAGACATTTAGCCTGAGACGTCATTGAATGGCTAATTACTTCATCAGTCGATGACCAAAAAGTAGAAGTTTTTATGTAACTATTAATACCACAAAAGTTAGAAGAGTTTGAAGCAAAAAATTTTGTGATACATAGTAAGAGCCTGGTTGGTCAAAATATCTTACACGACCCTCCTTCCTTGAAATTCTCCTCAGGAGACCGAGAGGATAAAAAATACTGATCGTATTTCATAACTACTTCTGAGCTTTATTTGGAAAATTGAGGAAAAACTTGGTGAATCCTGTGATTGTTCACGAAATCATTGTCTTGGAAAAAGAAAGGCAAGTGTTCTCTATAATGATAAATCTTTTACTAATTTTACGACCAAATACCTTATTTATATTCGGAACCTACTAAAGCCCTCTTGTGTCCCCTTACACTTTTGATTAGTCCTGAATAGAGGAAAAGGATCCGAACAACAAAATCCCTTCTCCATCTTCGAACCTACTATACCTCTCTTGACATCTCCCGTACATTTGATTAGTCCAGTGTAGAGGAAAAGGACCCGAGCAAATGTTAACATAACATGATATTGTATACTACAGGAAAATGCTACACCAACTGTATGTTACTAAACCTCAGTTTGCCTTTGAAATCATCCTACTGGATCAAAAGACCCAATCTAAGTTCTAGGTAAAAACGGCCAGTTCTACTAACTAACAACCAATGAGAAGATATTACTCATAAAACTTGGTTATCCGACGTATATAAAAGAGAGAAGGCATTGGCGCGATACGCGTCGCAAATTTGTATCATCTTGTACTTTTTTTTTTTTAATATTATGTTGGGCCATTGGAAGGAAGCATGGGGCAATCAGATTTCTCCATTTTTTCAATTCAATCTACCATTTCTCTATTACTCTTCTTCTTCATCTTCTTTCTCTTCCTTTCTTCTTTTCAAAAATCCAAAAAATTGAAATCTCGAATTCGAGTTGCAGTACATTGGGCGGGGTTCATCTGTGCTCCTTGTAAGTGAAAAATTTCTTTACTTGTGATTTGTCTCTTGCATTTAGAGTTCATTTTATTTCATTGTTTGCTCATTCATAGTGTTAATGATAAGCAGGATAGCCTAGCTAACTTTAAAGACTTAAATGGTCAGATATTACCAAGGTTAGTTATTTTATAATTACAATTATTTTGAAAAATTTAGTCATTTCTGGATCACTTATATTCGAGTTGCAGTACATTGGATGGGGTTCATCTGTGCTCCTTGTAAGAGAAAATTTCTTTACTTATGATTTGTTTCTCACATTAGAGTTCATTTTGTTTCATTGTTTACTCATTTATTGTGTTAATGATAAGTAGGATTACCTAACTAACTATAAAGACCAAAATGGTTAGATATTACAAATGTTGGAGACTGCACAGAAACTTACTCTCCGTGCTACACGTATGCACGGAGACTCTCTTTGTGCAGAGCGGAGACATTAGCTTTGTGAAAAAATTCTCTCCATCTACAACTTCTCCATCTTCTCTGTTCTAGATGGTCCATCCACGATGGAGAGAGATCTCTCCATTTCGGAGCCAGCACGGAGCTATTTCTCCATGCAGAACGGAGACATTAGCTCCATGAGAAAATTCTCTCCATCTAGGACTTCTCCATTTTCTCCGTTCTAGATGGTCCATCCAGGTTGGAGAGAGATCTCTCCATCTCGGAGCCAGCACAGAGCTAATAGCTCCTTGTCGCATGCAGCTCCTACTCCGCCCACTGTTCTGGGTAAAGCTTTGCTCTGTGCAACTTGCATTTTCAAAATATGAGTTAAGTTCATCATTTTAATATCTTTCAATATCTTTGGTGGTTTTGTATATATTTATCTAAAATCAGCCAGCTATATCTATATTTGTCTGCCAATTCAAATCAAACTAAATTATTAAATTCTCCAAAAATCCATCAATTCACAAAAAAAAAAAAAAATTAAATCCATTTTCTCCAACTTGGATTTAGAGAAAAACTTTGCATTCAAAACAAATTAAACAAAAGAAAATTACGAATGTTAAATAAAGAATACATAATTATTATTTAATTATAATTGAAGAAATTAAGTTTTATCATGAAGAGAAGAATTAAAAAGAATTTTAAATTGAAAAAAAAAATATTTATAACATGAACAAAACAAATTAAAAAAAGAAAAAATAAATGGGGAAAAAAAAGAAAAATAAAATCACCGATTTCTGTTCATCCCATGGAGAAAATCTCTTCGTGGGACTCCATCCAGATCCAGGATGGAGAGTTTACTCCAGAATGGAGAGTCCAGGAGAGTTAACTCTCCATCTTGCATGGAGAAAACTCTCCATCAAGCCCCTGTTTGCCCCCATTTTGCAGAGTTGAAAATGAGTAGAATAATATTTTTTTAAAAAATAAGTGGTTGAAAAACAAAGAAATTTTTTTATTTACGTGTAATATTATTTTATGAAAAATTATGTGGTTGAAAATAGGAGAGAAAAATGTATTTTGCTTTTTCTCATTTATTTTTTCTTTTTTTGATTTGTTTTGTTCATGTTATAAATAATTTTATTTTTTCGATTTAAAATTCTTTTTAATTATTCTCTTTATGATAAAACTTAATTTTCTCAATTTTAATTAAATAATATTTATATATTCTTTATTTAATTTTCGTAACTTTCTTTTGTTTAATTTCTTTTTTTTATCATTATTTTTTGAAAATTGTAAAATTTCTTATTTCTTCATATTATAAATATTTTTTTTTCAATTCAAAATTCTTGTTCATTCTTTTCGTTTTATGATAAAACGTAATTTTTTCAATTTTAATTAAAAAATAATATTTATTTTTTATTTTAATTATTTCAATTTAATTAAAAAAACTTTATAATAATCTTTTTTTTTCTTTTTTTTTTGTTTGCACTTCTTTATTATTATTTTTTTTTTGTTCTTTAATTTGTTAAATTATTTAAATTTTTTATTAGTATTGAATTAGATGAAGTGAAGAGCATGTGAAAATGGAGAAATATTGCAGTTGAGGTGATTGTTGCAGTGAAGTTGCATGTGAAAATGGAAAAATGATTGAAAACAACACGATGTCATTTTTGCTCTCACGATTAATTTTTTTTAATTCTTTTCTCTTTATGATAAAACTTAATTTTTTCAATTTTAATTAAATAATATTTAAATATTCTTTATTTAATTTTCTAACTTTCTTTTGTTTAATTTGTCTTTTTTTTCTAAAATTATTTTAAAATTTCTTTTTTCTTCATATTATAAATAATTTTTTATTCGATTTAAAATTCTTTTTAATTCTTTTGGTTTTATGATAGAATGTAATTTTTTCAATTTTAATTAAATAATATTAGGATTTAATTAGGTCCAATGACAATAAAATCAGGTCATTGGAAGAAGATTGATACATGAAATTGCTTTTAACATTTTAAGCTATAATTTAGGATTCTGCATTGTGCCCGTTAACATGAAAAACCATTTTTAATGCAGTAATATAGATATTGTTATGTTGTATATCTTGGTGATATTTAATTATTATAATCATAATATGAATTAGGGGCAAAGCTTGAGTGGGCTAAATCATATTTTAGATTGAGCTAATATATATGGTGAAATATATTCCACATAAAAGAGTTTTTCACAAACTTTTATAAAGGGAAGTGCCTTTTATAAAATATATGCAAATTCTCAAATATTTATATGAAAAATAAAAAACAAATAGAGAAGATTGACAAAAAATAAGTCAATTTCAACATATTTATGAATACGTTTCAAATTTATAAATGAATTTTTCTAAAATTTACATACACTTATATTAAATATTAACCAATTAACGTGCAACAAACGTTTACCCACTAGTAACTTATAAGGACTGACCATTGCTTATGTTCCCTTTCCAGAAATAAAAGGTAGTGCACATAATGAAGTTTATTTTTACCTCTTCGTCTTTCTTTCCTCTTTAATGTATATGACCGATGCACATGATTTCTGTATAAAAGATTGTGAAACTGACAGACTCTGCCATTTGAATTTGGGGTGTTTTCTATCCTTTTGCATTTCAGCTAGACCAAAAACCATCTTTATATATTCCCATCTCCTAACTTTTGGAAGAAAAAGAGGATATATTTTGATAAATAGTAGATGGCTCTTGGAGGTCTTCCACGGATGAACTAAATGAGACGTACCTCTGGAGGAGCCGTTGGTAATCCAAAGTTGTGTCGCTTAAGGTGGGAATGTGTGAATTGATCCGTGGAATGTGCTGAAAATATATAAATACTGTTATAAAGAAATGATGTACCAAGAGTTTATTAATCCAATAGTAAGACATAGGTAACCCATAAAGAGAGAATAAATGATAATGGTTTGTGTAGTAATAACAAAAGAAAAATCCCTATCCTTTAAAGAGAATCTTAAGCAGTAAAAGTTCCTCTTTAGTATCGGTTTCATAAATAATATCATGAATGGAATCCATAATAGCTGGAGCTTTATCTGGTCTTTACTCAAGGAAAATTCTCCAGTAAAGAATAGGCCAGTACAACTCATGCTCAAATACTAGGCAAACAGCATTAAGACAATATTCTTTTATGACAATGTTATGCCATCTCTCAAATATTAATTAAATGTTTTCCATAGTTAAATGAACTTTGCAATCGCTTGTACATATTTATGTTGCTATGAGCCGTGAACTGAAGCTTTTATGTTATTAATCTCTGTGTTGAGCTAGTCCAAGTTATGTAGCTATCCATGCAAATAGCATTTAAGAGAATGTTAACAAGATTGTACCATCATTCAGTTAGGAAAAAAGAAGACAGGTGTTTATGTAAGAATGAAAGGATAGTATATAAGAACCACAACAGGTGATAAAAATACATTGAAATTAAATTCCCGGTGAAGATCCATAATGATATTTACACTAAAGATTCTGACCTATTTTAACTTGAAGACCATACACATTGGCAAGTGGCAATGGCTCTTTTAGAGTTAGAAAGCATGCCTTCTTTATGTTTAGTAAATGTGAGTCTAGGATAAGCATTAAATGTTGCTCAAGACACACTGTAGTACCCAATATACTTTAACTACTGCATATTTTTCCTTCTTTGAAGAATTGAAATCATTCAAGAAAAATTGGAGAAACAAGAAAGAAATTTGATAATAATTTGATCTTGGACTTGGAAAAGAGTCGACAGACAACAAGGAATGATATATGAAGTTCCAAGGCTAAAAGCAACTTTTCACATTCAAAAAAGTGGGAAATGAAACAAAATATTGTCTCGAAATGGCGCCATAAGAAGTCCAATCCATTTTTATTATGCTTTTAGCTTCCGAACTATCAGTTACTTATCACTTAATGTGGTTTTTAAACTCTTTTACTATAATAGAGGTAAGCATACTTTAATCTTGTTAACGAGTCAATGCTTACAATTAGTTATAACTGCTTCCACTTTGCGTTTCTCATTAACATTTATTTCCATTCAGTTTCTTCTTGTCTCACCAAACATTAGACATCTGATAAAGCTAGATTCATATAAGGAAGTCTTCTATTTATTGTCAAACATTATGTCCTTTCTAACCCAACCTGTTTTGATTTTGTAAACACATGTTCGCCAATCTTCTGTTTCTCAATGAACTAAACTAATGCAAAATTCAGAAAGAAAAGGACAACATTTGGGCTACCAACTTCTGAGAAAATGAGTGAAAATTTGCAGTTTATACAATCTCTTTAGAAAGATTATCTAAATCCAACATGGCCACGTAAAACCTTACTCCAGAAAGGATATTGCTCATCCGACAAGATAAGCCCATTGGTCACTCTTTTAGGAGAACAATTTCTTATTACAATCATGTGCAAATAAACATATCATAGCACTTGTCAGCTTTAAAATGTGAAGGAAACATATCAAAGTCAACCAACTTTTGGAGAAACCAGTAATATATATGGCCCCTGTTTGGTATAGATTTTAATCTAAGTTAAAGTCACCAATGAATTTTAATCACATATTTCATAGGACTCACAACTTTTCAACTACACATTTCATCAACTTTTATCTAAATCTACTAAAAATCTAATTTTAATTCCTATCAAACAAGGGCGTAGATTCTCCAGAAGAAGATGAGGTATAAGAGTTTCACAATACAATTGTCAGAAGCATATACTCTCTTTTTGAAGCAAGGGCACAGCCATAAACACCATTATACTAATTTTTTTGTGCCGAGTAAAGGAATTCAATGTAATCTGGGAAATATCCTAATGTCATATAAGCTCTACAAAGGCTTGTAGTTTAGATACAGAATAGCACAAACAACAAGGCTGTCTGCCAAATTCAAGTCTTTAACTAATGTGATTTAAAAACTCCAGGCACAAGCAGAGTACTAACTATGTTATAGTTCCCATCAATAGTTTGATCCTAACTAGAAGAGTGCAGTTTCATGTTGTTACTGAAAGATGAAAAAGATGCAACACTTTAAACCTAATAAAAAATCCAAAAATATTATAGTTAAAAATATATACATGTCCCAATTCTATAACAGTAATCAGAGTGTCAGACAAATGGGTGCTTGGGTACCTCTACAAGTGGATGAAATTGTCTCCAAGAAAGTACAAGTACAATTATACAGAACAAAATGTTTAACAAAATGAAAAACTTCTACATAACATATCAATGTAACATCCTCAGCAAGATCTAAATGTTGAGATATAATAGTTTCACATTAGATCTAAATGTTGAGATATAATAGTTTCACATTCAAGAGCAACAAAGTCCAACTCACTTCTACCAAGTATAAGCTAAATCAAGCTTACGGATATGTACTGAAAGATGAAAGTATGAACTGAGTTACATCACTTATCATCTTAAAGCCCATTAATATGGACCGAAAAGAATCAGCACAATCTAAATCATAGCATGTAGATAGTAACGGATTTCATATGTACAATGTGCATGAAACATTAACTCATTTTCTTTGGTGATAGTCTCTATAAAAGTTGCACAATATTTTAGTTCTATTCAGACATCTGAGAGAAACCCATGACATGTCATATGAGAATGCATTATCCATCCATTGTAACTTTATCATTTAAATTTTATATATAATCATCTTACAGGAACAGGTGCAAACTTGGAAAGCCGTTGAGTAATTGCACTATCAAATTTAGCACACTCTTCAGAAAGTAAGACGGCAATCATCCTATCATTCTCAGCATCCTGTTGATTGCTTATTGAAGTTGAACTCGAACATTCATTAGTGGTAGGCATCCTATTTCTCTTTGATCGGCAGCAACAGGCAATTTTTCACTTGGAGTTAGAAAAGAATGATCTGCTGCAAGAATGAATGAATGAAAATAAAACAATTGGAAAAAGGAAACTCAATATTAAGTAGCATAATTATTACTAATCTGTCAATGTCCTAAAGTGTTCTCTCTTTACATCCTGCTGCATTTCTCCTCCCAAAAATATCAGTTCCATGATCGGGTGGGCAAGCAAACAACAGAATTTTGAAGCATTGTTATGTTCCATCAAAAGCCGATGGTCAAAGACCCTAGTTCCACAGGAGGGAAATCCCCTCCATCACTGGTACGATGGAGGTATTATTCGAAAAAGAAAATGAAGGAAAGCATGTTTCACATATTGGGAGTGCAAAGGAGGGGGGAATGACAGGAAATTATAATAATTTATAGAGGACTCCATTCTCAAT